AGAAAAATTAACTGACCATTTGGACTGGTAAATTTATAGATATCACTTTTGAAGACCAGAGTGTTTAACTCTAAAAGTGAAACTACACAGCCATGCTTATTTTGAAATTAAATTGCAATGATCTTTTCAGTGAAAATGTTTTGTTAAATGATTTTCAAACTTGTTTTCGTGTAAAGGTGGATGTCACTCGCCGATATAATGATGCAAATCAAGTGATATGATATTGAACTGAGCAGATATTAGTTCAGAAGGCGTACACTGAATCGATTAAGGCTAAATTTCACAAACACAATACAATTTTTTTAATACAGAAAATGGGCTCTGCAACAACAACAACTTAGTAATAACCTATTTAAACTAGTCGACAGCTTCTTCATTAGTTATCTTTTTTCGACATTTAATTCACGTCTTCATATTAACTATAGTCTGAATTACCCAAGTAAACTAACAACATACAGTATGTATTTGCATTTATTACTAAAAGATATATTGCTAGCAGGCTAGTATTTGCTGTTATGGCTGCCAACCTCAAGTATCTGATTATTGTTACCATAGCATATTGAAAGACAGTTTCTCAGTGTTTATTTCTGGCTTACGTCTTAGGATTAAATATAAGTTCTTCTGCGTCAAAATAGATCTGAAATATCAAAGTGGACCGTTAACAAATTTATTTATACCTTCCTTCCAGCTTTCTTCCAATTCACATCTGCCAAATGTTGGACGCAAAAGGGACCTTAATCCCGATTTTTCGTCCGTGCAGTGCATCAGGCCAGACGAAAACATGAATGAATCATTGGAGAACGCAAACAGTTGTTCTTTTCCTATGGCTCATGGTATTCCACTGATCGCAATCAATGTTATTATATGCGTTCTGGGATCACTTGGAAACTTCCTTGTTTGTTTGGCCATTGCTACAAACTCTCGCCTACGCCGAGCCTCAAACTACCTTTTATTTAGTTTAGCGATCGCTGATCTAATGGTAACTTTGGTATGCGAGCCACTACTTTTGAAAGTAATAATCCAGAGGACATTCTTCCATGAGTGCACAGAGTGGTTGCAGCGTACGTACTCTCTTTTATCCCAAATTTCATGCAGCACTTCAGTCTATCATATGGTTGCAATCAGTTTTGATCGATTCGTTGCCGTTGTGTTTCCACTGCGACACAGAAACTTCATCGAGGGATGTGGACTTAAGCTTATGCTTATAATATCCTGGTCAATCCCGATTCTTGGGCGCGTTTTGAGGGCCATCGTTCGGCCGGCCTCCTATCCTGGCCATTTTTTTGGATTGGGAGTTTTTGCCTTGAGTTATTTCTTTATTTTCTTTTTCTATTTTCTAATCGTGGTATTTCTGATCCACTACAGAAAGACAAGAAAGCAACTAGGTGTCCGAACACTTTCTGTGAAAGTGACTTCCAGCAGGGAGGTCCGTGTTGCTTGCACACTGGCTATCGCAATTGGCGTTTTCACGGCTTGTTGGGTTCCTCTGATGACTGTATTTTTTGCCACTGGAAAAATAATTATAAATCGAAACGGCTCTCTACTCATGTGGCTCCGAACCCTAGCTCTCTCCAACTCAGCCATGAACTTTCTGATCTACTCTGCCAAAATCCGGGACTTCAAAGAGGCATACGTTTATATTTTTCGAAAGATGCTCCGCCTGTAGAGGTCACGACTTTACTACAGTTTCAAGAACTCAGAAAGTTTTAAGAAGCTGAACTTGTGAGCAGTCCCAATCATTATGAAAAAGAGTATTTTTTAGTGTTTCACCGACGTAAAGTCTCAGTACTTCCTGTCAGGCACTATCTGTTTCAGGGGAGAAGCCGGTATCACAACCACGTTAGCAGTTCAAGAAACTGCACTCTGGAAATGAGCCTACGTCAGCCACGGGCACCAGACGAATTATTCTCTTCCGAAGTGTAAAATGCTTGCTTGAGGGAGTAAACGAGAAAGAAAGAAAGGCAGAAACGTTTCTAGGTGTTTGTTTTATTTCCTAGCCTTTTAGGAGCTGTTCTATTCAGCAGTTCGCTACGATTTTCTGAGGTACTTTTTTTCACGCTTTAATCACCACATTTGGCTATTATCTTGAGTAAAGACCCTAACGGTAACCGGTCATTTCGACCCGGTTATTTAGCCCCCTATTTTCGAGTCATTTAGTGCGCTTCAAATATAAATGTTGCTCGTTCTATAAGCCGTAAAGCAAAACAAGTAAGCCTCAAATACAGTATAATATTCCTCGTTCTAAAATAGGGAGCGGCAAAGTAACCAGAGCGAAATGATCGCAAAGCACCCTAACAGCATCCATAGGATTTTCGGGAAAGGATAGAGGAAGCCCTGATACATTTACTTAAGTTCCAAGAGCCTAAATTTGTTCTAGCACGACTAAACAGTTAACTGAGAAACTTATAGGGCCCCTCAGAATGCATTAAAACCATTCTCGATAATAGGTTTTTAAAGCATGTTCAGTTGAGAGAAAACCGCGTCGTTGGGTGCTTATGGAAAAGGCTGGCCGGTATTGTTTAAGAATTATTTAGTGTTGGATTAAAAAAATATATAAATAAACTAGAAATAAGTCTGTAATAAAGTGACCTTCGCGTTCACGGTACCTTTTAATGTACTATATGTCTACATCACTTCTGGAATTGAATTCATGAGGACAGGAGCTGGATCATCAAGTAGTAAGGAACACTGACTTAAATGGATGATTTTTGGCCTGAACAATTCTGGCCTGTGTTCATGGAGATGTAAAGCAGTTAAAGAAATTCAAATAGGAGACGTCTGATTCAGGCTTAACTGACCATATTATACCGTCAACTTAGAAGTTTCTGTTGGCGAATTGATCTTCTACATAAGCGCCTTGACGTAAAAGTCGTTTCTGGCCAAAATGTGTAAAGCCTCTACATCTCTGGCAGGACAAGCTATTCGTGCCTTCATTCATTTGATTTCAATTGCTTTTTTTTATCTCGTAGATTTACTCTTCAAACATAGTTTAATAAATAAAAATGATATGATTTAGCGTTGTGTGTCTGTGTCTTTCTTTTGTTCGCTTTAGAAGGGAGACCAGAGATGGTATCTCCGTTCGATTTTAAAAACAACAGTAGTTTCAAGTGCGTCAAGCAGGACTGAAACAGGAGTGTAGGTATCTAATTTGAAGTAATAGTCATAAGATTTTCCTGTGAGCAGAAAAGAGAAGGGTCAGAGAGAGAAATGTTGCCTCTTCTTTGCAAAGGAAGTGTCCAGTTTCTTAGTATAACGAAGTGTCCAGCTACAATCGGAAAAAAATATTTATGAGGCACCTTGTCCTCAACGTCATTTCTCTCTCTTTCCCGACACTACTGTCTACTGTTCAAAGACCATTCCCTCTTGCAAACACTAAGTAGAAAGCCCACCCTCCCTATAAAATATTGATGTGCTGTCCAAGCTAGTTGTAGGAAAAGAAAAAAAACTTAAGACTAGGCTATCATTTTGTCACTTACAATAGGCTATGTTCAAACTTTACCGGGTCACTTTTTGTGGCGCTGCAGAAAGCTATCAGGTATAGTATGAAAAGAAACGGCCCGGGGCGGCACAAGTCGCTCACACAATATATATATATATATTTTTTTTTTGTATTTTAATGAATTTTTACTTCGTTACGTATTACATTTTTTACATACTGACTCATGAACAGGCAGGAGAAGTACAAAAAAAGAAAAGAAAACTAAACATATATACATCGCAGACTCACACACAATTACATACTGACAAAAAAGAAACAAAGAAACACACCCCCAGTACCTTCTTCTCTATTTACGTGAAAAAAAAATTAATAAAGATTAATAACAAATGAAGTAAGCGGCGAAAGGATCGTATACTAATCAGATTTATATTTGCTCCATTTCATATTGTGGGTCTCCAACTTATTGTTTGACTTAGCGATCATTGTCTCGATTAAGAAAACAGAATTAATTTTGGAATTAAGAACTCTTATGGAGGTGGAATATTTGTTCTGTCTACAAGAGTATAGATATTGCTTTGCCAGTAATAAAATATGATTCACAAATATCTCGTCCTCACATCCAATAATACCGAACAGTACATCTTTGTCTGAAAGATTTTCAATAACACCAAAGAAAATTTCCTATGAGAGCCCGAGAAAATAAATGTCAAATTTCACAAAATGACACCTTACACAGTGAATTTTTCAGAATTTTATCTGTGTTTTCATAATTCTTGTGAAATGTTACGTCTATTTTCCACAAGCTCTCGTAAGAAATTCTCTTTGGCGTTATCACAGATAACTAATTATGTCTATAACCTTTGAAAAATGTAAAAAAGAATGCGATATTATTTAAATTATTCTGGTAGAGAGTTTTTGTCCATTGAAAATTGAAATTACTCAATTTCCTGATGGATTCCGTCTTAATTTTACTTCCATTTCAATGGTTTCCAGTCCTCGCTCTTACGCATTTACTTCCGTGACGGTCCGAATAGGTGTTAACACTGCACCAAAATATGACACAATTATAAAGCGAAACGGCTCTCTACTCATGTGGCTCCGAAACCTAGTCTGTCCAACTCACCCATGAACTTTCTGATCTACTCTGCTAAAATCCGGGACTTCAAAGAGGCATATGCTGATATTTTCGAAAGATGCTCCGCCTGTAGAGGTCTCAACTTTTACTACGGTTTCAAGATCTCAGAAAGTTTTAGGAAGCTGAACTTGTGAGCAGTTCTAATCTTCATGAATAGGTTATTTCAGTGTTTTAGAAACGTGAAGTCTCAGTACTTTTTTTTCTGCCTGGCAGGCTATTTCAAAAAGAAGCCGGTCTCACAATCACGCCAGTTGTTTAAGAAACTGCATTTTGGCAATAAACCGACGTCAGCCAGGGGCACCTGACGAATTATTCTCTGCCGAAGTGTAAAATATCTGATTAACGGAGTAAATATTATCTGAAAAGCTCCAAAGAATGAAAAGAAAGACACAAGCTTTTCTAGCGCCCCATTCACACCTAAGCTTAAACAACATGTTTAAAAGCTAGTTTAATTACTTAAACACGGTTTAAAATTGTTTCCTTTATAAAAGAATGAGCTGCTTACTAACTTAGTTAATTGCAAATTTAGTGCAAATTACAGTACATGGTGAATTTTATATGAATCCTGTACTGTAAAACCCGGTTTAGTTAAACATGTTTAGTTGCTTGTCAATAGGGCATAGGTGTCTGCATGCTGCATTTCCCGAGCTTTTTCGGAGCTGTAGTACACTCTACTTTCCTACAATTTTCTGAAGCAGGGATTTTCACGCTTTAATCACCAGATTTGGTTGATATCTTGAGAAAGGTCCCCTAGTAGCATCTAGGAATTTCGGGAAGGATAGGGGGAGCCCTCGAAGGGGAGTACCTCCAGCAAAGTTAGAGTAGAGGTGTGCCGCCGAGGCCTTCACACACTGACCCTGTTTATAAGGCAAAAAAAATGTTGTGACTTCATTTTGCTACCCTATCCTTATCCTATTACCCTGATTCGCTTCGTTTTACATACAGAAGAAAGTAATTTCGAGACTTTTTTAACTAACCTCATGGAATTGGATTTTTTGATTTTAATAACGACAGTAGTGTCAAGCGCGTCAAGCACGAATGAAACAGGAGTGTAGGTGTCTTATTTGAAGTAATAATCATAACTGTGAGCAGACGAGAGAAGGAAGAGAGAAAGGATCCCTCCTCTTAGCAAAGGAAGTCACCAGCTTCTTAGTATAGTTAAGTGTCTAGATATAATTTATGAGACACCTTGCATTGTACTCAACCTCATTTCTCACTATTTCCTGACACGACTGTTTAATTTCCAAAGACCATCCTCTCTTGCAATAACTAAGTAGAAATTCCACCTCGCACTTCCCGCTCTCCCTAAAAATTAATTGGTATGCTATCCAAGCTACCCTTAGGAAAGAACAACCAAAGATTAAGGTATTATTTTGACGCTTGGACTTGCGCGTAAGCAGGTCAGTTTGGATTTTTCTACCTTAACCAGGTCGCTTCTTTTCCAGAATAAAATCAAAATGCAGAAAGCATTAATAACTGCATGACCATCCGGACTGGTCACTGTAAATCAATTGCTACTTTTTACGAGCACATGCTCAGGTAAAGTAACAACACGGAGTGTGGATTTGCATTTGTCTCTGGGAGATATATTGCTAGCAGGCTAATATGGCTGTCAATCTGTCTCATCAGATTACTGGCTGTTAATATCATTATAGTAAAAAAGTTTCTCTTTCAGATAAAAACCGAAGTTATCGAATGCAGATGTCCTGAATATATATCTGAGAAGACGCAGTTGTAATCAAACTATTGCGGATTCTTCCGCCCCATTTGTTTAAAGAAATTTAGAATGAAGTTGGATTTTCTGTTCATAAGTGTGTTGGGCGAAAAGGGAGTCTTAATCCTGATTTTACGCCGTGCAGTATATCAGTTCAGACGACAACATGAATGAATCGTTGGAGAAAGCAAACAGGTGTTCCCTTCCCATGGCTCATGGTATTGCACTGATCACAATCAACGGTATCGTCTGCGTTTTGGGATCACTTGGAAACTTACTCGTTTGTTTGGCCATTGCTACAAATTCCCGCCTACGCCGAGCCTCTTACTACCTTTTATTCAGCTTGGCGATCGCTGATCTAATCGTCACTTTGATATGCGAGCCTCTCCTTTTGGGGGTCATCAGCTCGATGGCATTCTTCAACGAGTGCGCAGCTAGCCTGCACGTTGCGTACTTCATTTCATTCCATCTCTCATGTACCACCTCTGTCTTGCATATGGTCGCAATCAGTCTTGATCGTTTCGTTGCCGTTGTGTTTCCACTGCAACACAGAAAATTCATCGAGGGATGTGCACTTAAAGTTATGCTCACACTATCATGGTCTATTCCGATTCTTGCTCCCGCTTTGAGGTACATCGTTCCGCGTGCTCTTTTTCCCGGCTCATTCATTAAATTTCTGAGAATGACAACTTTTGCCGTCAGCTATTTCTTTATTTTCTTTTTCTACATTCTGATCGTGGCATTTTTGCTCCACCACAGGAAGGCAAGAAAGCAGCTAGGGACTCGAACAGTTTCTGTGAAATTTACTTCCCGAATGGAGGTGCGTGTTGCTTACACACTGGCAGTCGCAATGGGCGCGTTCACTGCTTGCTGGATTCCTCTGATCATTGCAATGGGTTTTTTCACTGGAAAACCTTTTGTAAAACAGAACATTCATCTACTCATGTGGCTCCGAACTCTGGCTCTGTCAAACTCAGCCATGAACTTTCTGATTTACTCTGCTAAAATCCGGGAATTCAAGGAGGCATTCGTTAGCATCATACGAAAGATGCTCCGCTTGTAGAGTGCTCGGCAGTTGCTAAAGTTTTAAGAACTGAAAAACTTCTCTAAAGTTGAAATCGAAATTATTCATTCTAAAGCATTGTTTGGGAGAAAACGGTCGTTTTGTGCCCGTGGTATAGGTTGAAGGCATATATGCTTAAGACTTGCGTGGCGGTGGACGAAAAAATGACCGTCTTGTTATTCTTAGCATATATTCATATGGCACACCAAAGGAAAATTTTATCCCTACACGAACTATTGAACTTAAAGTCAGTTATAATTTGCAGATTGTGCATGAGGTACATAATGATCGAGTGAAGGCCTTGCCTCCTACGTAACCATATGACTAAGGGTGCGTTTCTTTCCTAAAATCCAAGATGAAATAAAAATAATCCGGAACATTAGAATTTTTTATTAAGAAAAATTAAAAGAAACATCATGTATCCAAAAAGGAATTATTTTTCATTTATTTCCATACACTACCCACAATCGAAGGTATCCCCGAGAAAGAATAATACGGCTGCTAACAATGTTTCAAGTTTGCTGATCTTTCATTGTATTCCGGAAGATTAGCTATAGGATACTGCTTTAGACGGGCCAAAACGGGTCTTGCGAAAAGACTAGCTACTGGAAAAGTAAAGTCTTGCAAGACGCGCCGGCGAAGTTGCTTAGCAGTTTTGTCCTTGTAAACTAGAACAGTCAGTGCAGGTCCTGTTTGCATTGCGATTTTACCATGCCGGTAAAACGGATAAAATCGATCGTTTAATCCATGCTTCGGGTTCAAAATGTCCATAAAGATGATCAGTGTGAAACAGTTGATGTTTGTATTAAAATTGTTTCAAGTTACTGCTGGCAGTATTCAGTGTTTTGGGATCGGTAAAGAAACGCTTCGGATCATGTATCCAAAGTATCCGGTTTTGGATATAATCCAAAGAACTCACCTTCGTTGTGGATCATTTGGATCAATAATCCGTTTTTGGATTTTAGTGAAGAAACGAAATATCCGTTTTCGAATTAAAATCAGGATTTGGATTTTTGTGAAGAAACCTACTCTAACTGAAACGACTTCATGGGAGTTGGAGCTGTATCATAATTATATAGTTGAAAGCGGGAACTNGTTTTTGGATTTTAGTGAAGAAACGAAATATCCGTTTTCGAATTAAAATCAGGATTTGGATTTTTGTGAAGAAACCTACTCTAACTGAAACGACTTCATGGGAGTTGGAGCTGTATCATAATTATATAGTTGAAAGCGGGAACTGTGACTGTAAAGGTTTCCGTTCAAAGCTTCTCCGGACTGACTATGTACTCTATACTATAAATCAGAAACCACACAGCCATGTATGGTTTGAAATGACATCAAATTTCAATGATTATTGTAAACTTGGTCCTATGTGAAGAGGAAAACACAGTATCACTCGCAAGTGCAATGATGCAACTCAAGTGACTTTAGATTGAACTGAAAAGATTTTAGTTAAAGCGCTATAAATAACTAAAACAGTACGTGATCTTAGCATACGAGTTAACCCATAGAAGATGTAGCTGTATATATCAATTAGGTTCAAAAGTTAAAAGACCTGGTTAATTTATGCAGTTTGTGCAAGTTTTAGCTCTTTGCAATCAGTAACAAAGAAAATAACAGCAACTAAAAACTGCTGAATTACTGGGTGGCGAATCGTTAATGAGCTCACACATTCTTTGTAAATTTTTTCAAAGAAAATTTCTACGAAAGTATTCGGTGTATCGGGCTCAAATTTTCAGCGATAACTGAAATTGTTATGCTCTTTCAACATTCAAAATTTCATTTTGTTGGCTTCATCAGATAATGATAAGCCTATGCTAATGAGGCAAAAAATGTAAACAAGGATTCGCCTATACCGGAAAGCTCTTGCGCTACTGGTTAACTTTCGCGCCGGCACGAAAATCATACCAAATAAGCCTTCTGTTCATACACGAGACAGGTGCCAGTTTGGTTCTGTGCCATATTATGGTGTAGTGTGAACTGATGTTCAGACCTTAACGGAAGTGAATAACTTTGAAAGACAAGTGGAACCCACTTAGACGGAAGTAAATATTCGGGAGTGTCAGGATTGCGGTTAAGGGAACTAAACCCTCTTGGCCAACCGTCCCAGCACGATGTTCGATGTTTACTGTGCGTGTGAACTACTTGCTTTAGTTCTGTGCCGTTGCTATTGATACTATACCGGAATGCTATCAGGTTCAGTGTGAAAATAGCCTAAATATGTTCGTCTTATAATTGCAAACTTGCCGTGTAATGATGTAACTCTTACGAGTGATTTTATTTTGACCTGAGCAGTGATATTAGCGAGAATGTCATGTATTGATTCTATTTAGCTTTAACTTTTTAAAAATTACAAAAACAATACATGATCTTCATAAATACGATGGGATATGAAAATGCTGACCCAGTTAAACCGATAAACAGCCTGTTGGTGTTTTCGACGCTTGATTTACGTCGGATTTACCATGGTCTGAATTCTCACGTAAACTGTATTGTAAGAGCATGCACTACAGGTTTGCATTTATCGCTGAAAGATATATTACCAGCAGGTTCAATATTTACAGTTTTGGCTGTCAATCTGACTTATCTGATTGTTATCGCAATATAAGAGTTTCAGAATATCTATATCTGGTTTCAAAGTGGCTCACGTCTGTAGACTAAATTAGGTTCTTTTGCGTCACAATAAGTCTGACAACGTCTGAGATTGGCGGGCTAAACAAATTATTTATTTCTTACTTCAAACTTCATCTATTCACATGTTCTGGTGCTTTGGAAAAAAGGGGGGAACTTAATTCTGATTTTACGCCGTAAAGTACATCAGTTCAGACGACAGCATGAATGAATCATCGAAGAACGCAGACACTTGTTCTCTTCCCATGGCTCATGGTATTTCACTGATCACAATCAACGCTATCGTCTGCGTTTTGGGATCACTTGGAAACTTGCTTGTTTGTTTGGCCATTGCTACAAACCCTCGCCTACGCCGAGCCTCCAACTACCTTCTATTCAGCTTAGCAATCGCTGATCTAATCGTCACCTTGATATGCGAGCCACTAGCTCTGGAAATCATCAGCCACATGACATTCTTTCATGAGTGTACAAGTAGCCTGAAACAACTTGCGTACGGCATTTTAGGCAGTCTTTCATGCACTATTTCAGTATTGCATTTGGTTGCAATAAGTATTGATCGATTCGTTGCCGTTGTGTTTCCACTCCGTCACAAACTTTTCCTGAAGAAATGCGGAATTAAGATTATGCTTATAACTTCATGGTCAATCCCCCTTCTTTTGCCCGTTTTATTCTATAGTGTCTCGTTAACTTCCTCTTCCGGCTTATTCATCGCATTTGGAATCTTTGCCTTTAGCTGTTTAAGTATTTTCTTTTTCCACTTCCTGATTGTAGCATTTCTACTCCACCGCAGGAAGATAAGAAAGCAGTTAGGAGCTCGAACAGTTTCCGTGAAACTGGCTTCCCGCATGGAGGTCCGTGTTACTTGTACACTGGCTATCGCAACTGGCGTTTTCGTCATTTGTTGGACTCCCCTGATAACTGCGTTTGCACCAAGTAAACCATTGATAACGTGGAATGGTCCTCTACACATGTGGCTCCAAACCTTGGCTTTGTCAAACTCAGCCATGAACTTTATGATTTACTCTGCTAGAATGCGAGACTTTAAAGATGCATACATTGTTATCGCAAGAACAATCCTGAGTTTGTAGAGTGCTTAACTTTTACTACAGTTCAAGAAGTCAGAAAAGTAAAAAAAAAAGACATTTTTTTCCCTTATAGTAGAGGCCGGGTAAGTCCCGTTCAGATAAGCATGGCATGGCCTGTTAAGCGAGGAAAGGCAAAAACATATAGTATGCGCTGACTGCATAGAATATTCTATCAGTGTTAGCAATCAACAACTTCATATTGGTCCTTTCGAGCTCAGCATAAACTTTTCTTATGTCAGAGTGGGCGGGAAAAACAGATATATTTTTAACCAACTTCAAGCTTAGAGTTATTTTTGTTCTAACAGTACTAAAAGTTGACGAAAAATGAACAATAGTGGATTGCAGGGCGTGCATGTTTATTGTTATAATGACAGAGAGTGGTAGTAGTATCTTCATTGGTCAATCTATTCTTGTGTTATTCATGTAATCACGTGAGTTTCCCCCCTAAACCTGCTAGCTGCATTCTATAGAATTTTTCATTTGTTTGTGACAAATGCCTAAATCATGAAAAAGTAAAACATGAAGAGCAGAAAAATAGACTCACTCCTTTGGACTGGTCAATTTATAGCCCGTTTCTCCTCGCTCTTCGCCTCTGAGGACGTTTCACCAGGAATAACTCCAGGAATAATTCCATACTGATGACGTAAAATCTTTCCGTAATCCAGTAAGAAGCGCTGATTGGCCGACGGAGTAGTGACATTGTTTTAGCTATTGTTTACGAAAAACAGACAAAAGACAAAAAGCCACGAAGGTCAATGGAAACGCGATGAATCTCTAACAAAACAATCAAATTTGGTGGAATATATTCTTCTCCAGAACAAGCATTTGAGTTTTGCTGGAGCTCGTTCGCAGATGAACACATCACTTTAGTAAAATCGACCAGGAAAAACTTAAAATTGGACAAATTTGGATGTGGAACCCCATGACTACCGGATACATTATGTAAATCGCTGAGTGGCAGACGTTCCTCCGCGCAAAACATCCCCGGCAGCGAAGAGCAAGGAGAGACGGCTGTTTTCGCAGGCTAGTCAATTTATAGATATCTCTCTTCTTTTGAAGACATGTTTAACACTTAAAATGAAACTAAACAGCCTTGCATGTTTTAAAATAAACATCAAATTGCAATGATCTTTTTACTGAAAGTTTTTCTTTTAAATATGTTACAAACTTGTTCCTTCGTAAAATAGATGTCACTCGCAGATATAATGATGCAAATAAAGTGATATGATTCTTATTACCCTTAGCAGATATTAGTTTAGAAGGTACACTGAATCGATTAAGGCTAAACTTCACAAACACAATACATGTTTTTTGAACAGAAAATGGGGTCTTCAACAACAACAGTTATTGCTGCCGGTTATTTAAGTTGCCTGTTATTTCACGAATTATAAATCTTTCGCTATCATGCGGCCATTTCTCTGAGGAATGGAAAGAGGCTCTGGTTACTCCGATCCTTAAGAAACCTGGCTTAGACCCGACGCAGTTGAATAACCTTCGCCCTGTCAGTAACTTGGACTTTACATCAAAATTGACAGAGCGCGCTGTTTTCGACCAAATTCACAGTCATATGAGTCGCTTCGCCCTTTATCCAACCTCGCAATCCGCTTACCGAAGGGGTCACAGCACAGAAACACATGCCTATGCTGATGACACTCAGCTTTACATGTCGTTTAGTCCTGACACGGCTACTAATCAGACTGATGCGGTCATTGCCATGGACGCTGTATATAGGACATTCGTACGTGGATGCTTATGGATAAGCTCAAACTTAATGATGACAAAACTGAGTTCATGTTGATTGGTACAAAACAACAACTTTCCAAAGTAAATATTGATTGCCTTAGGAAGCATTGACGTTGCTGGTTCGATTCTAACTTGAATCTCCACGAACAGATCCACAAAACTTGTAAATCTGGGTTTTTCCATTTATACAATATTCGGCGTATCCGAAAATATCTGTCCCAGGAGTCTGCACGAACTTTGGTCCATGCTTTTATCATTGGTCGTATAGATTACTGCAACAGCCTTCTATTTGGTTTACCCTATGTTCATCTACTTAAACTACAACGCTTGCAGAATGCAGCTGCTCGGCATAAATCTAATGTCCCTCGCTACAGTCACATAACACCAGTACCATGTTCGTTACATTGGCTTCCTGTCAAATTTCGTATTGATTTTAAAATACTTCTTTTTACTTTTAAAGCTATCTACGGTCATGCGCCTGGTTACTTGATCGCTTTGATTGCTATAATCTCCGCTCAGCTAGTGGTCTTATCTTAAAGTATCCTAGTTTAAAACTGAAAAAGACTTTAGGGGATCGTGCTTTTTCATCTGCTGCCCCTAATTTATGCAACAATCTGCCCCTTCACATCCGTCTTGAGGACAATTTTGAACGTTTTAAATCTTTACTTAAAACGCATCTTTTTAGACTAACTTTTGATGCGTAATTTTTTTTAACCTACTATGTAATATATTTAGTGTTTTTTTATCTTTTTTTAACTTTTAGCGTTGTTTATTCTTAGCCTTAATTATTTTGCTCATTTTAGCTTTTATTTTCTTTTAACACTTACGTGTTGTCACGCGCTTTTGATCATATTTGCCTGGAAAAGGCGCGTTATAAATTTTTAATTATTATTATTATTAACAACAACAACATAGCAAAGTAATTGAAATGATAATGATGCCTGACCTTCTGCAAGGTACTTCGGCCACCTGAGCTCAATATTACTGACAGGTGTAATGACGCAACGCAAGTGATTTGATCTTGACCTGAGCAGATTTGTAAGTCAATAAGGCTGGGCTTCAAATTACTAAAGCAATACAATATCTTGATAATAATCATGGAGATTTTAACAACAACAGCTACAAAATTTGCAATGATGATGATGATGTCAAATAAATAAGTAAAGTGGAGATTTAGAAGTAGCGCTTCTTTTTACTGGTTCTTCATCTACCAGATTCCTGGTCGAATTGGTATTTGAAAACGTTTTTTTTTTTGAGGAGAGGGGAAAATCGAAGTACCCGGAGAAAAACCTCTCCTAGCAAAGGCGAGAACTTACAACAAACTCAACCCACATATGGCGTCGACGCCGGAATTTGAACCCGAGCCACACTGGTGTGAGGCCGCGATTGCTCTCAGCACTGCGCCACCCTTGCTACCCTAATGGTGAAGATACCTGGTTTAGCTGGCTTAGCTCAAACGCAACATACTAAGTTTTTCGACATTCAATTGATCCTGTCTTCAGGTTAAGACTATGGTCCAAGTGGCAAAGATTAAAAACTTTTGCAGTATTTTATTATTGCAATAAAGCTTGTTAGAAGGCTAATATTTGCAGCTACGGCTGTCAATCTGACTTATCTAATTATTGTTATCGCAGCTAGTATAATACCTTCAGAATGTCTATTCCTGGCTCACGTCAGTAGACTATTTATAGGTTCCTCCCAGTCAAAATAAGTCCAATAACGTATGACTGGGCGAGGTAAACATATTTTTCGATATCTCGATCAGTTGCGAGTTTTTCCCATTCACTGGAGCTTAGACCAAGTTATCCTGATTTTACACCGTATAGAACACCAGGCGATAAGAGAACATGAACAAATCATTGGAGAACGCCAAGAGTTGTTCTCTTCCCATGGCCCATGGTATTGCACTGATCACAGTCAACGCTATGGTGTGCATATTGGGATCGTTTGGGAACTTACTCCTTTGTTTTGCCATTGCCACTCACCCTCTCCTACGCCGAACTTCAAACTACCTTCTGTTCAGCCTAGCGATCGCTGATTTATTCGTCACCTTGGTATGCGAGCCCGTTCTTTTGGAAATCTTCTACAATCGAACACTTTTTCACGAATGCAAAGCAAGCCTGGAAAGGCCGTATCGTGAGTATCAGTTAGAAAGAACAAGGCGAAGTCACTAGGTGAATCGGAGCTAGTCACACCTAGCCAAATAGCGGCAACGCAAGGGAGAAGTGGTGTTTTAAAAGTACTTGAAATGCGGACTTGTGATTTTGCTAACAGCTTCTTGGGCACTACCGATTTCAGTTCCTGTTTTGATGGTTTTCCTTCCGCCGTCCTTTCCCAAAAAGTTCATGGCGATGACATCGTTTTCCTTGAGCTACTTCGTCATCATCTTTTCATACTTTATGATCGCAGTATTTCTGCTGAGGTACAAGAAGAAAAGACAGGACCTAAGAGCCCATACGGTTTCCATAAAGTTTACTTCGCGCAGAGAGGTCCGTGTTGCTTACACTTTAGCTATTGCAACCGGAGTTTTTACAGTTTGTTGGGTTCCGGTAAAGACTATGAGGTTTGTCATAGGTATGAAGCCAAACAGCCCTTTACACATGTGGCTCCGGACCTTGGCTCTGTCAAACTCAGCTATGAATTTTCTGATTTACTCTGCAAGAATGCGCGCCTTCAAAGAGGCATACTTAAGTATCTTTCAAAAGATGTGTCGCTTGTAGAATTAAGAGTTTGTTTTGGACTTAACATTCATCAGTCTACTTTTATAAGTTCGCTCGTGCTTGATGCATGCCTTCTTGATTCCTGAACTGATATTGATTTGCTCTGCTCGAAAGTCTTGTGAGGTGAATTTATTCAATTACTGAAGAATAAAAACTGATATGACTGTTTCATTAATAGTAAGATTGGGCCGTGGACATGATCATTGAAAAACGTGCTTGATATCATTAATGATATAGCCCTAAAAAAAGTAACTGTCATTATTATTCACTCCAAATATTTGTCCTGTTCTGATTCGCTAAAATCCCACGCAAAAATTAGCATAATCTGCTATTGTCGACCAAATACGAAGAATTCTGCGATATGTAAAAAATGACGACAATCGTGAAGCTAAGTCGCAGATTAATGAACCGTTAACCGAGAAGACCTAAGGAGAGGTTGAGTTTTTTTAGTAGTGAGTGAAAAAAATAGCAGAACATTTCACGAGGAATAAATAGGCGAACTACATTTCTGAAACTCATCAATAATTCATAACGTAAATACAAAGGAACTTAATGTTTAATGAGTGTTTGGAAATCAGATGAAAAACTGCTCATTTCTGCATCCCTAACTTCTCCTGGTAAAATCATTCGTTTGAGAAGTAATATCAAGCATTCGACACACTGTTTCATCACCAGATGAAATACTTCGAAGTTTGTCAAAAATACTCCGCTGCGCGTCGTATTTTGAACTCTCTTCTCAGTGTTTCATCTGGTGATGAGACACTGCGTCTCATGCTTGATATATTACGATTTTCTAAAAACATAGCAAGAACACCAAGAAGACAACTCGACGGACGACATCTGCTGTTTGGAGAATATTAAATTTTCGGAGCTGAACGACCCATTATCTCCTATTAACTTCCCGATTAACATGCGCTATCGAAGACGAACTTAACATCGATGGAGGCAAGTATGTTTTAGCTTGTTTTTAAACTAAGAAGAACTTTGAATGAGTAATAAAACAATTATCGAACTCGGCTTTCGTATTATCTGATCAGCAAAAGTACGTCTCATCTTTTCGTCTCATCAATAATTGTTAATTATTTCGTAACAAAGTCAATAGTTTCTTTGATAATTGTTTACAAAACCTTTTATCAAATTGAGACTCTTTTAGCTCTAATTATAAGGAAAAAATGCTATAATTTTGATGTGGCAAAAATAGCTAATAGTAAGCACAACAGTAAGCAAATAACCAGTTGCTTTAAAACAATGGTAATATAGCTGTTTAGGCCCCTGCACGCGCAATCACGTCAAGTTAGGGAAATAACTATAAAGGGCATTTTGTTTCTTTAATGAACCGCGAGTATCCTAGGCATAGGGAAGAAAGTCTTTTCCTCCCCTCCCTCCCGCCCCCTTTTAATTACTACCTTATATATGATAAACAAATATATGTTCCTGTATGGGGCCCTGTATTTCGCTACTATTCTCTAAAATCTTGGACAAATTATACGGAAAGTACCAAATCAAGGATAAGAAAACGGTGCGTTTTGCTCGAACGCGCACATTTTGGGAGTCCCAAGCTGGATGACATTTTTCTACGAATGCGCAGCGAGCCTGCACGTTGCGTACTTCACTTTATTCCATCTTTTACGTACCACCTCTGTCTTGCAAATGGTCGCAATCAGTCTTGATCCTTTCGTTACCGTTGTGTTTCCACTGCGACATATAAACTTCATTGAGGGATGTGCACTAAACGTATGCTCATAGTATCATGGTCTATTCCGATTCTTGCTCCCGCTTTGAGGTATTTCGTTCCGCCCGCTATTTTGCTCGGCTCATGCATTAAATTTCTGAGAAGGACAACCTTTGCCTTGAGCTATTTCTCTATTATTTTCTTTTCTTACTTTTTGATCGTTACATTTTTGCTCCTCCACAGGAAGACAAGAAAGCTGCTAGGGGCTCGAACAGTTTCTGCGAAACTGACTTCCCGAATGGAGGTGTGTGCTGCTTACACACTGGCGGTCGGAAGGGGCGCGTTTACTGCTTACTGGATTCCTCTGATAATTGCAATGGGTTTTTTCGCTGGAAAATATTTTGTTAAACGGAACATTAATCTACTCATGTGGCTCCGAACTCTGGCTCTGTCAAACTCAGCCATGAACTTTCTGATTTACTCTGCTAAAATCCGGGAATTCAAGGAGGCATTCGTCAGCATCATACGGAAGATGTTCCGCTTGTAGAGTACTCGACGTTTGCGAAAGCTTTGAAAAATTTCTCGAAAGTTGAGCTCGAAATTTCTCATCATCCCATGGTATACATGTAGGTTGAAGGCATATATGCTTAAAACTTGCGTGGCGGTGGATGAAAAAAAAAAATCTAACTAAAAAAGAAATGACCGTCTTGTTATTCTTGGCATACTCATATGGGCCCCCAAAGGGAAATTTCATAACTACACGAAAAATTGAACTTAAAATCAGTATAAAAATATAATTTGTAGATCATGCGCGAAGCACATAATGAACAAATTTATAGAGCTTTGTATGGAGACGCCATGTTGGAGCTCATCCGGATGAGCTCCAACATGGCGGATGGAAACCAACAGGAACATCTGTTACCGAGTTTTGCTACAAAAGCGTGAATTTACTCCCAGAAGAACTCGTAAACATTAAAGTAATACTTTTTCTAACACTTGAACCGTTTAGACAGCAAAATTCCTCGAAAAAAGTCACTTTTTTAACAGCTCTCTCGGCCGTCATGTAAATGCTGCGTCACACAAAAGCTTAGAAATTCAAGCGTAATCTATTACAAAACCAAGAACTCTTTTGAAGCGAAAATTTGTTTGAAAATTAGTTTTCAGCTGCTCTAATACACCATTAAAGTAAAATCTCAGTAGGATCGATAGTTTTGTAGTTTGAATTTTAGTGACGTCATGTGAAAACCAACAATTCTTGCCTTTGGTGAAATCCGCATGATAAGCTGGTGAGCTGCTGGGACAGAGAATGATTAAAACTTTCGAATAATGAACCTGGCCGTAGGCGTGGCCGTTTATAAAGTAGCAGCATATAATGTTGAAAACGCAGATATAGATTCACAAAAAATCACCCCAGTAAAAGAGAGGGAACACTTGCCACAGCCCGAGCGGGGAACAAGAGTCAGCCAAGCCCGAAAACAACAACAACAAATTCTATTTCTCCTGACTGTCGCGGAAGTTAAGCTTGTATAGGCGCGTCCGAGACTCACAACATTTTGGATTTTTTTTCTACCTAAACCAGTGGTCGCCTCTATTCTAGAATGTGTCGTACTTGTACAAAATGCGGAAACCATGAAAGAGTAACATCAGGAGCCGAAAACGCCTACCATTCGGAGGGTCAATATGTAAATAAAATCCTTTTGTTAGGATCTATTTCACTCCAAAACAAAAACTACAAAGCCACGCATGTTTCGAAATTAACATCAAATTTTTAAAAATGTTCTTTTCGTTTAAGGCTATGTTCACACTATGGACGGATTCATCTTGACGTCATTGTTTACATTTTTGCTCATTAGCATACGAGTTAACCCATGTAGCCGTATATACCACTTAGTTGCAAAAAATAAAAGAGCTGGTTAATTCATGCAGTTTTTGCAAGTTTTGCAAGTTCGCAATCAGTTTGTGCAAGTTTTGCAATCAGTAACAAAGACAATAACAGCAATTAAAAACTGCTAAATTACTGGGTGGCAAAACGTTGATGAGCTCACATATTCTTTGTAAATTCGGGGGTTTTTCAAAGAGAATTTCTCCGAAACTATTTGGTATATCGGGCTTAACTTTTCAGAGATAACTGAAATTGTTATGCTTTTTTAATATTCAGAAATTTCAATTTACTAGGTTCATCAGATAATGATAAGCCTATGCTAATGAGACAAAAAATGTGAACAAGGATTCGCCTATACCGGAAAGTTCTTGCGCCACTTCTTAACTTTTGCGCAGGCACGAGAATCATATCATGTAAGGCTTCTGTTCACATACGAGACAGGTGCCAGTTAGGTTCTGTGCTACAAATATGGTGTAGTGTGAACAGATGTTCGGACCATAGCTGAAGTGAATAACTTTGAAACACAACTGGAACCCACTTAGATGAAAGTAAATATTCGGGAGTGTCAGGATTGCGGTTAAGGGAACCAAACCCTCTCGGCCAACCGTCCCGGCACGATGTTGGATGTGTACTGTGCGTGTGAACTACTTGTTTCAGTTCTGTGCCGTTGCTATTCATACTATACCAGAACGCTATCAGGTTCAGTGTGAAAATAGCCTAATTATGTTCTTATAATTGCAAACTTGTTGCTGTGTAAAGGTGAACATCACTTGCAGCTCAATGTAATGATGTAACTCAGATTAAATCCAACATGTTTCGTATTTGCATTACATTTGCAATCAATCGCAAGTCAGTAAGCAGCTTTAATCAAGGAAACAATTTTTAATCGTGTTTAACTAAACGGCTTTTAAACTTGTTTAAGCTTTGGTGTGAAACGGGCTCTAATTACTATTATTATTTATTCAAAATATTTCCCCAATTCTGATTGGCTAAAAGCACACGCATAATCCACCAGAACCAGTTACTGATGACCAAATTTGGAAGAATTTGGACTTTAACGAGGAAATGACGTAAAAAAATGTAGCGTTCTTACAGATTAAGGCACCGTGGGAACGAGGCTGAGTTGTTTTGGCTGTGAAAGTAAAAATGGCGGATACTTCACTCGTTTGAAGAGTAAAAACTACAGCTGGAACTAGGCGTAATAATAGCAAAAAACATAGCAAAATCAGCAAGAAGACAACTTGCAGGGCGACATCTGCTATTTGGAGAATATTTGAGGAGCTGGACAAACCTAAACGCAAACTATCGAGGATAAACTTAACACCGATGCAGGTAAGCTTGTTTTAGCTATGTTTTTAAACTAGGAATTATTTTGAATGAATAATAAAGCAATTCTTGAATTCGGCTTTCTTATCATATAAGGAATTATGGAGATCTCGGAGTGTGTTATCCGCCTCTGCCGATAACATCCTCCTCGATCTCCATAATTCTTCATAAGATACTCAGCCTCATTCATTAAAGGGGCTGTGTCACGGCAGTCCAGTTCATTTTGTTTAATTTTGCCAATTAGTCGCCCTCAATCGCTATGGAACTTAATTTTAGCAAAGAAATTACAGGTAAATGGAAAAATCAGAGATCCGAAACAAACAATTATGACTCCTGGGCATTATTTTTGAAGTTGCAAGCAGCAGGGATCAACTTTGAAAAACTGTTAGGCTGAACAGTTTTCAAAAACCCTAATTTCAATCCGTTTCAATCTTCAGTTTTGCCCATCCGTGGCATCTGTTGTTTCTGTTATGTTATTTTAACCTTCCTTTATACTATATTCTAGAAACATGCATTACAGACTCGCATTTATCACTGAAAGATATACTACCATCAGATTCAATATAAGGACTTATGGCTGTCAATCTGACTTTATTATCCGATTGTTATCGCAGTATACGAGTTTCAGAATATCTATATCTGGCTTCAAAGTGGCTCACGTCTGTAGACTAAATTAGGTTCTTTTGCGTCACTGACGATATAAAGCTGACAACGTCTAAAATGGGCGGACTAAACAAATTATTTATTTCTTACTTCCAGCTTCATCTATTCAAATGTTCTGATGCCTTGGAGGAAAGGAGAGATCTTAATTCTGATTTTACGCCGTACAGTACATCAGTCCAGACGACAGCATGGAGAACGCAAACAGCTGTTTTCTTCCCATGGCTCATGGTATTGCGCTGATCACAATCAACGCTATCGTCTGCGTTTTGGGATCACTTGGAAACTTGCTTGTTTGTTTGGCCATTGCTACAAATTTTCGCCTTCGCCGAGCCTCCAACTACCTTCTCTTCAGCTTAGCGATCGCTGATCTAATCGTCACTTTGATATGCGAGCCTCTCCTTATGGAAGCCATCATCCAGAGAATATTCTTATACGATTGCACAGCAAGCTTGTGCATGGCGTACAACTTTTTAAGCTATCTTTCATGTGCCACCTCAGTCTTACATATGGTGGCTATCAGTCTTGATCGATTTGTTGCCGTTGCCTTCCCACTGAGACACAAACACTTCATGGAGAAATGCGGACTTAAGGTTATGCTTATAGTATCCTGGTCAATTCCCATTTTTGAGGTGATTCTTCTTCTCGTTTTGTGGCTTGTCATTCCAAAGGCTTCATATTCCGTGGCCAAATTTCTCTTTTTGGGAACCTTTTTCTTCAGCTATCTCTTAATTTTCTTTTTCTACTTTCTTATCGTGACATTCCTGTTGCATCACAAGAAGACAAGAAAGCGACTTAGAGCTGGAAACGTTTCTGTAAAACTAACTTCCCGCATGGAGGTTCGTGTTTCTTGTACACTGGCTATCGCAATCGGTATTTTCACCGCTTGTTGGGCTCCCGCGATTGCAAGTATGTTTGCCGACACAATGATTGGAAAACCACTTATAAGGCTAGACAGCCCTTGGGCCATATGGCTTGAAACCCTGGCTCTCTCAAACTCGGCCCTGAACTTTCTGATATACTCTGCTAAAATCCGAGACTTCAAAGAGGCATACGTTGATATCTTTCGAAAGATGCTCCGTTTGTAGAGTTGTGGACTTTTTGCTACTTGTTTCAAGAAATTAAAAACTACTGTTTGAAGTCGCAGTTGATCCTAATGGTTAATTTTTGTAAGGCGAAACTGTCATTTACATATGTGGTAAACGGTCAGCGTGTACTATTGGTTTATAAGTACAGGAACACTTGGAGAATTGTTAACAACTAGAAGTATTCGTTATTAGCTACTAGGGAGCATAAGCAACCACAACGACAACTTAACAGCAGGTAAAATGTCAATGAAACAAAATACATTTGCTTTCCTTCAAACTTCATTGCCTTTATTTAGCTTCGCGAATTTTGTCAAATGTCGGCGAATCTCCCTTTAGTTGAATTTTTTAAGTCCGCATCCAAGTTCTAAAATAGACGATTTTACAGTGGTGGACTTAGTACCCTAGTATTCAAGTGAATGCGAGGCTGACGGTGACCTTGTTTTGATACAACCCTTCTTTGCTTTGTTATGGAAATTGTCCTTGAAAAATACGAGTTAGCATAAGAATAACTTAATTTACATAATAAAGCAGGAAGGTTTGTATCAAAACAAGGTCAACTCCAGACTCGCTTCCATCCACAACTGTAAAATGGACTATTGGCAAACGGTAGCTGGGGGCTATTAACAAACAAATTAAATCCAGCTGGGTCTTAAGTCCTTGACGAAAGACTCCTTTCCATTGACTTAGTTCACATAAAGATGTTAATAAAGCGACTCTTTTGATAATTACCAAATGTCCAGCTGAAATCTTTGAGACACCTCAACGACATTACTAAACGTTTTCCCGACACTATCTACTTCAAAGAGTAAAGCAAGCCTTATTTCTTAACCTCTTGGCCACGGCCCAAACTACCCGTTGAGAACAAAAAACAACCCAACTTTTTTGTTGTTCGAAAGCGCCCCATTTAAAGAAAGTGCCTCCACAGTTTTGTCGCCGATTGTTGCTTCAATGAAATGTGTAAATCATGTTTTTCTTACAATAATGCTAACTTGAATTTTTTACGAAAACTTTACATTAGGAAAGGGAAGGAGGCCGGTTTGTATCAAAACAAGGTTAACCTCAGTCTCACATTCACTCAAAGGCTAGGACACTCAGCCCACAACTGTAAAATGGCCTATTTAGCACAATATCACTGACAGGTGTAATGACGCAACACAAGTGATTTGATCTTGACCTGAGCAGATTTGTAAGTCAATAAGGCTGGGCTTCAATTAATAAAGCAATACAATATGTTGATAATGATGATGGAGATTTTAACAACAACAGCTACAGTATTTCAAAAGATAATGATGATGTCAAACAAATAAAGAAAATAAAGATTTAGAAGTAGCGCTTCTTTTTAGTGGTTCTTCATCTACCAGATTCCTGGTCGAATTGGTATTTGAAAATTTTGATTTTTGAGGAGAGGGGAAAATCGAAGTACCCGTAGAAAATCTCTCGTAGCAAAGAAGAGAACTTACAACAAACTCAATCCACATATGGCGTCGACGCCGGGATTTGAACCCGAGCCACACTGGTGTGAGGCCGCGATTACTCTTAGCACTGCGCCACCCTTGCTACCCTAATGGTGAAGATACCTGGTTTAGCTGACTTAGCTCAAACGCATCATACTAAGTTTTTCGACATTCAATTGATCCTGTCTTCAGGATAAGACTATGGTCCAAGTGGCAAAGATTAAAAACTTTTGCAGTATTTTATTATTGCAAGAAAGCTTGTTAGAAGGCTAACATTTGCAGCTACGGCTGTCAATCTGACTTATCTGATCATTGTTATCGCAGTACAAGAGCTTCAAAATGTCTATTGCTGGCTCACGTCAGTAGACTATTTATAGGTTCCTCTCCGTCAAAATAAGTCCAATAACATATGACTGGGCGAGGTAAACATATCCTTCGATATCTTTCCCATTCACTCGAGCTTAGACCAAGTTATTCTGATTTTACACCGTATAGAACACCAGGCGATAAGAGAACATGAACAAATCATTGGAGAACACCAAGAGTTGTTCTCTTCCCATGGCCCATGGTATTGCACTGATCACAGTCAACGCTATGGTGTGCATATTAGGATCGTTCGGAAACTTACTCCTTTGTTTTGCCATTGCCACTCACCCTCTCCTACGCCGAACTTCAAACTACCTTCTGTTCAGCCTAGCGATCGCTGATTTATTCGTCACCTTGGTATGCCAGCCCTTCCTTTTGGAAATCTTCTACAATCGAACATTCTTCCACGAATGCAAAGCAAGCCTGGAAATGCCGTATCGTCTCATAGTCAACCTTTCTTGTTCCGCTTCAGTGATCCACTTAGCCTCGATCAGTGTGGATCGGTTTGTCGCCGTTGCGTTCCCTCTTCACCACAAAATTTTCATGAAAAATGCGGACTTGTGATTTTGCTAACAGCTTCTTGGGCACTACCGATTTCAGTTCCTGTTTTGATGGTTCTCCTTCCGCCGTCCTTTCCCAAAAAGTTCATGGCGATGACATCGTTTTCCTTGAGCTACTTCGTCATCATCTTTTCATACTTTATGATCGTAGTATTTCTGCTCAGGTATAAGAAGAAAAGAAGGGACCTAACAGCCCGTACAGTTTCCATAAAGTTTACTTCGCGCAGGGAGGTCCGTGTTGCTTACACTTTAGCTATTGCAACCGGAGTTTTTACAGTTTGTTGGGTTCCAGTAAAGACTATGAGGTTTGTCATAGGTATGAAGCCAAACAGCCCTTTACACATGTGGCTCCGGACCTTGGCTCTGTCAAACTCAGCCATGAATTTTCTGATTTACTCTGCAAGAATGCGCGCCATCAAAGAGGCATACTTAAATATCTTTCAAAAGATATGTCGCTTGTAGAATTTGGAGACGCTTTGGAGTTTGTTTTGAACTTAACATTTATCAGTCTACTTTTCGAAGTTCGATCGTGCTCGATGCATGCCTTCTTAACTCCTGAACTGTTATTGATTCGCTTTCCTCGAAAGTCTTGTAAGGTGAATTTATTCAATTACTGAAGAATAAAAACTGATAGGACTGTTTCATTAATAGTAAGGTTGGACTATGGAGATGATCATTGAAAAACAAATCACGCACTGTAAATTGGTTTTCATTGATTCCACATCATATCGCTGTGCAAGGTTGTTTTTGGTAAATAGCGTGATCCGCATACGGCTGATGACCCACAGGAACAACACGATCTTACCTACTCCGACGAATGTTCACGAATATATCCGTTTTAAGGTCCCTTGTTCCTTGAGGATCCCCAGTAGGTTTTTCCTGATCCAGCGGGATATGCCTCATTTGAAGGCTTTTAAAGGGCCCGAAGGTTAATGTTAAAGGTTATTGCGTCTCCCTCTTTAAATAAAGTTATTGTATTGTATTAGATTCGGAATTTCAAAAGAAAATGGGGGCAAGATTCGGGATTGAAAGTGTGCACGGGGAGGCGGATTCCGAAAATATCCCTCGGGATTAGGGGACTGAGCAAAAATTTGGGTCGGGATGACGGGATTGAAGAACCATATTGGGGACCATTTCTTCTTTTCGACATTCTCGTCTTTTTTGGAAGATTGTTGTCTTGGGCGAGTTCTGAAAGTAAACCTGTTTGGACAGAAATAAAAGAATATCCGAATGGGATGAATAGAGAGGAGAAGCCGTTGCATCACTTTGCCATGGCAGCAAAATTTCAGGATCTCAACAAACCCTTGCCCTCAAATATGGCCGAAGAAAAAAAGAAACGAGAAAAATTTACATCTATGGCTTTCCTGTGCATGATTGAAGAAGCTCCTAGTATTTTATGAGTATATCACAGCTATGCATATCAGTACCTCTTAGCACTAGTTGCACTGATTTCACGGTGAATTCAAAAGTTTCGGCGAACCGCGGGTCTTATAAAATTACCTCCAGTGCTTTTCATGATTGAAGCATTGAAGAAAGCGTTTCTGTGCAGACTTTTCTCGGTCAGTTGCAAACAGGATGCGAGTGATTACGAACAAAATACACCAGAATACACTTATCAACGGAATGAGAATGTTTTTTCCCTGAGAATTGGACAGACTTTCTTTTTCAAGAGCTTCCAGAAGAGATTCAAAGCAAAATCGTATATATCTACATCGTAATTAACGAATATTCACTCCGCAGTCGAGATGTTCACTGCACGCCATCTTGACACAAATGATCAAATTTTGAATACCGCCCATGATGCTTAGCGATCATAGTGCGCACATCGCCTGGATCTCAACAAACCCTTGCCCTACAAATATGGCAAAAGAAAAAAAGAAGCGAAAAAAATTGACACCTATGACTTTCCTGTGCATGATTGCACTTAGGATCAAAACGGTAGCCCATCCGATGCGAATGGCCGTCTCTGTTAAAAAATAATGTTCAGATCCAGAAATTTTGCTACCATGATAACGTGACGTCACACTTCTCTCTATTTGGCCACAGTCGTAATCGTTTATCAGTTAAGTTAAGGCATAGATTCGCCAGAAAATCACCCCCCGGTAAAGAAAAGGCGGGAACACCTACCACAGCCCGTAACGAGGAAATAGAAGCAGCCGAACACAAAAACGACAACATTGGCATACAAATAGTATTCTCATCCAACGAAATAAATAACATATATAAGTATATAAATAAATAACATATATATTAAACATGTAAAGCAAGCTTACATCAAAAGGAATTTAAAAAGATAAAACACGCTTATGTAACATGTATTTATATATATTCAATATTCAAATATCCCTATCTGATATCCTGCGTAATTTAATTTAATTCACGAATTCTAGTAATTACTATATCGAGATTTTTTTCCATTGACAGATTATTATTCACTCAAAATATTGCTCGTGTTCTGATTCGCTAAAATCCCACGCATAGTTTATCATAACCAGCTAATGTCGACCAAATTACGAAGAATTCAGTTGCGATATGAGAAAAATGACGTCAATCGTGCAGCAAAGTTGCAGATTATTGAACCATTAACCGAGAACACCTAAGGAGAGGTTGAGTTTTTTTAGTAGTGGGTACAAAAGTGGCGGAACATTTCACTCGTTTCGGGGAGAATAAATAGTCGAACTACATTTCTCAAACTCATCAATGATTCATAAAGTAAATACAAAGGAAATTAATGTTTAATGAGTGTTTGGAAATCAGATGAAAAACTGCTCATTTCTGCACCCCTAACTTCTCCTGGTAAAATCACTTTGTTTAAGAAGTAATATCAAGCATTCGATACACTGTTTCATCACCAGATGAAATACCTCGAAGTTCGTCAAAAATACTCCGCTGCGCGTCGTATTTTGTATAGGCACGACCGAGACTCACAACATTTTGGATTTTTGTTTTTCTACGTAAACCAGTGGTCGTCCCTATTCTAGAATGTGTCGTATTTGTACCAAATGCGGAAACCATGAAATAGTAACATCCGGAGCCGAAAACGCCGACCATTCGGAGGGTCGATACGTAAATCAAGTCCTTTTATTAGCACCTATTCAACTCGAAAACAAAAACTTCAAAGCCACGCATGTTTGGAAATTAGCATCAAATTTTTAAAAATGTTCTTTTCAATAAACTTGCTTCGTTTAAGGCTATGTTCACATTATGGGCGGATTCATGATGACGTCATCGTTTACATTTTTTTCTCATTAGCATACGAGCTAACCCATGGCTGTATTTATCAGTTGGGTGCAAAAATTAAAAGAGCTGGTCAATTTATGCAGTTTGTGCTCTTTGCAATCAGTAACAAATAAAATAACAGCAATTAAAAAGTGCTAAATTACTGGGTGGCAAAACGCGAATGAGCTCACACATTCTCTGTAAATTTAGGAGTTTTTCAAAGAAAATTTTCTTCGAAACTATTTGGTATATCGGGCTTAAATTTTCTGAGATAACTGACAGAAATTGTTATGCTCTTTCAATATTCAGAAATTTCATTTTATTAGCTTCATCAGATAATGATAAGCCTATGCTAATGAGGCAAAAAATGTGAACAAGGATTTGCCTATACCGGAAAGCTCTTGTGCCACTTCTTAACTTTTGCGCCGGCACGAAAATCATAAATAAAAAATAATAATCATCTTTATTGAGGAAACTTTTTCATAAAAGATATGGTTTTCAAAAAGGACCTCAAAACTAGATATATAATATAAAAACAAAAAAAAAGCTATAAAATTACAAAAGGATTAAAAAGATACAAAAAATGCATAAAAAATTAAAAATAAGTATAAGTAAAAATTAAACGTAAGTAGCTATATTAAAAACTTAAAAACATTACGTTTAAAACTATTTACATTCCTTGAGTCTTTGATCGTCTGACTGAGGGAGTTAAAATCGGAAACGGCATGATATTGTGTTCTTTGCTTCCCCCAATTTCTTTTGACACGCGGTAATCTAAAGTTGCTTTTGTTACGTATATTATGCCCATGAAGTACGTCTTGTCTAATCAAGTCCATATCGTGATTAATTAGGCCATTGATGCATTTGTATACGTGTACACACCTTCTTTGAAATCGCCTTTTCTCTAGAGGCAGCCACTTGAGAACGGCTAATGCCTCAGTGGAGGATGAGTACAATGGTCTATTTAAAATAACTTTAGCGGCCTTATTTTGCAAAACTTGCAAACTAGACATAAGGGTAATATTATGTTTATCGCCCCATACTAGATCAACATATTCAAAAAGGGGCATAACAAGACTTTTATAGAAAAGTAGACGCGCCCTGAAAGGCAATAAATGCTTTATACGCTTGAGAAGCCCAAGCCTCTGATTGATTTTCCCAGTTAGGCGTTCAATATGATCAGTCCATGTGAAATCCGAAGATATATGTATACCGAGGTATTTAAAGCTGCGAACATTACTTATCTAAAATTGAAACAGTCAAATCTACTTTGCTTTCGCGTTTCCTATTACTACCGATAAGCATGCATTTAGTTTTGTCCAAATTTAAAGTCAGTTTGTGATCTTGAAGCCATTTCGCCACATCCAGTGGATCGTTATTTAACTTATCACTCAACTCCTTTGAGGATGTACCATAGCAATAAATTACAGTGTCGTCTGCATAAAGTGACGCGTAGCAGGAGTTAAGCACATTTGGCAAGTTATTTATGTAAATCACAAAAAACAGAGCCCTAGAATGCTACCCTGTGGCACCCCATGCGTGACTGGAAGTTCCTCAGATAACTCATTTTCACATGATGTGCGCTGTTGTCTACCAGTTAAGTAAGAACGGAACCAAGGAGAAATGCCTTATCTGGTATGATTTCATCATACCAGATAAGGCTTCCGTTCACACACGAGACAGGTGCCAGTTAGGTTCTGTGTAACTCTTACTAGTGATTTAATTATCACCTGAGCAGAGATACTATATTAGCGAAAAAGTCACGCTATTTAGCTTCAACTTTTACAAATTACAAAAACAATACATGATCTTAATTAAAACGATGGGATGTCATCAACAACGACAAGAAGAACAACAAGTAAAGTAATTATATTGATGATGACAATGCCTCACATAGTTAGACCAATAAAGAGCCTGTTAGTTAATAGTAATGATAATAATAGTAATAATAATAATAATAATACTTTATTCAAATACATATATGCTCATAAACATGATACACGATACATATTTGAAAAGGTGGATCGCGAGGTTATCCCTATAAAAGGTCCCCTAACTGAACTTTAAAAATATTAAAAAATTGTAAGAAACGCGCGTAAAAATCGTTAGTGCAGGTACAAAATGGTATGTAAGAATTATATTTAAAATGAAAATATATACAATTAAAATATAAGCTTCAGTGTCAAAAAAAATTCATCCATCTTTTTAAGCTTTTTTTAAATTTGTTAGCGTTAATTTCGTCC